CTCCAAGAGGGCCCCAAGACGACCCAGACAGGCCCCCAAGACGGCTTCCGACGTCGTCAGACAAGCCAGGAACGCCCTCAGACGGCAAAAGAGGCCCCCAATACGCCCCCAAAGGCCACCCAGCACCCTTGAAGAGGCCCCCAGGAAGCTCCCAGGATGCCCCAAGAGTGCCCCAAGAGGCGCCCAAGAGGCCTCCTCCTCCTGCTCCTCCTCTTGTTTCCTTCTCCTCCTCCTCCTCCTCTTCCTCCTCCTCCTCCCCTTGTTGCTCTCTCATGCGTTCCCCTAGAGTCATTCCAAACCGACTCGGGGAACAACTGGCCCGATAGCTTGGCCAAGCTCTGGCTCAGCTGTCGGCCACAGAGGCGCTTCCAAAGGGGCAGGGGGCGGCGGTGATTCGCCGTAGGCGTCTTCAATTCTTATGGAAAGAACCAAAACCAAAACCGAAATCGTCTAGCACGCCAGGCACCCCTGTGATGAATCAACAGGGGGCGGCGGATCTACTGGTCTTCGGCCCATCCCGCCACCGTGTCTGGGTTGTGGGTCACAGGCCTCTAGGTTGTTCGTTGGGATGTTTGCCTCTTGGGGCCCTCTTGGGGGTCCTCTTGGAGGCCTCGTTGGGGCTTCCTGGGGCCTCTTGGGGACCTCTTGGGGCCCCCTCGGTGCTTCTTTGGGCCGCGGGCTCGAAATGTTCGTTGGGGGACCCTGTCTGGCCCCTCCGTGGGAACCGTTTTGGGGGCTTCTTGAGCCGTCTTGGAGTCCTTTCGGAGCGTCTTGGGGCCCTCTTGGGCTGTCTTGGGGCCTCTTGGACCGCCGTGGGGCGGTCTTGGGGGCCTCTAGGGCCGTCGTAGAGCGTCGGGAAACCAGGAACGCGAGTACGCCCCAAACCTCCAAAAACCTTTTGTAAAGCTTTATTGTTGCCTCTTGGGGCGCTGTGGCGAGGTCTCTTGGAGGCATCTTGGGGCGCCTTGGAAGCCTCTCGAGCCGTCTGGGGGCCATCTTGGGCCGTCCAGAGGCGCTCCTTGACCGTCTCGGGCGCTCGGTGGGGAGCTCCGCGACAGTCTGCTGGTCGTTAGGGGCATTGCAGCCGTCCCAGACGTCATGCGGAACATCCCGGGAGCGCCAAGAGCGCCTGGGAAACTGGTGGCCCAGGGCTTTAAGAAGCTACAGTGCTGGTTGCAGCAGCCGCACTGCTGCGAGCAGGATCCTGGCTGCAGCAGCAGCGCAGCTGTGGGCCATTGGGGCACTCCGCTTTGTGCCCGGGGGCACGGTGGCAGGTTCACGGGAGCAGTGATCAGGCTGCCTCCCCCGGAGGACGGCCGGCTCGTTCACTCCCACAGGCCCTCCCGCCACATAGGTGGCGTCCGAGTCTCATCACGGGCCAGGTCCGCCATCGGCAACCGTCGGGAACCAATGCAGACGCCAGCCAGGTGCGCGACGCCCGCGAGATGCGCCGCGCGTCGCAGGGCATTCCCATCAACCCTGTCAAAGCACAGTACAACATGATCGCGGGACGCCCGCGCATGGTCCAAGATTTTGCGGCAACGTGAATTTCGCGTTTATTTTCGATAGGGATGGTGATCTTGCACGCAGCGGTCAGTATGCTGCCCCCCTTCCCCCTCGTCCCTGAACGAACATGATCCAGATTTTGTCGCACACTGCATGTTGCACTGTTGTTGGCAGGGATGGTGGGGGGTTGTTGGTATTGTTTCTGGTCTGTCGCATGTCTGGTGGGGGAGGGGGGGGCTCGGGGCAGAGACTTAAAACAAAAACCTTCCGCGGAGGGGCCGGAGGGGAAGAGGGCTCCTTCTCCTCATCTTCCTCCTCCGCCTCCTCCTCGTCGTCTCTCCTCCTCCCTCCCTCCTCGCTGTTCCTCTTCCTCCTCCTCCTCCTCCTCCTCCTCTGGAAGAGGAGAGGAGCCGCCCTAAACCACCCACGCCCTCGATGACCAGAGGGGGGGGCTGCGGGCCCATCGGGGCGCCCGTCCTTCCAGGGGGGCTACATCGCACAGCGGCAAAGGAGGCTCGCAGGGACGGATCGGGAGACTGCGGCGACGACGACGCCGAGGACCGCGCGGCGAGCGAGCGATGGCGCCACCCGAGGCCCCGAGGCCTCCCGAGGGCCTGGTGTGGCAGAGGCTCGCCCTGCCTTCAGCGTGGCATGACCCGCTTGCCGTGCTCGGCTGGGAGTTTACACTCTTCGGAGAGCCCGAGGGGGCCCGGTGCGGAAGGGCGAATGGCAGAATCGTTGATCCATCACTTCCTGGCCGCATCCCGACGCCAGCTGTGGCCGTGCCGACTCGCCCGCTGCAGGTTCGCCCTCGCGTGACTCAGGGTTTGCTTGGTACATCTTGCCCGCACATCGTCTGAGAGGTAAACTTCAGCATCGGCGCTACCCGTGGTCGAAGACAGGCCAACTCTTGCAAACATCCTGCTGAACCTGGTTTCATCCCGCTCAATCTGGCTTGATGCATCTTGATCCGGCTTACCTGGGTCAATCCGGTTCAGGGGCCCTCTCAGGGGGCTCAATGGCCCACAACCGTTCTTGCGCAGACCTCTCCCCATACATACTTGTTGGTGCACCGTGGGTTTACTTTGGTCCCTCTCCTCCGTGGCGGCGCGCACGGTGGAGGTAGGGTGAGGGGGAAGGCTTCTTCGAAGGAGGCTGCTTCTTAGAAGGCGCGGGCCATGTCTATAGATGTAGGGCTGGCACCTTCTAAGAAGCAGCCTCCTTCTAAGAAGCCTTCACCCCTTTCCCTACCCCCCTGTGCGCGCCGCCAACCTCCCCCGCATCCGCCTTCCACCTCGTCATCGTCGTCCCTCGTCCGCGTTCTCACACTGCGCCCTCGTCCTCCTTTTTTTCCTCGCCCTCGTCCCCCCCCTCTCCCTTGCCCCATCATTTTGCCGCACTCGGCGGCGGCCCCAAGCGGCAAATCCCCTCGGCAGCAGCGCTGCCCACCCTTACATGGAGCGAGCACGCCTAGAGCAAAGCCGGCGGCGAACAAAACGCCTCGTCCTCGTCGTCCCTCGTCCGCGTTTCAGCCCCGCGCCCTCGTCCTCCCTCCTCCCTCGCCCTCTCACGCCAAGGCCAATTCTCGTCCTCCTTCTCTCCCTCACCCTCGCCCCAGGCCCTCCCCTGCTGCTGCTGATGCTGCTGCTGCTGCTGCTGCTCCTCCCCCCCTCTCTCTCCGCCTCCTCCTCCTCCTCCTCCTCCTCCTCCGCCTCCTCCTCCTCTCCTCCTCCTCCTCTCCTCTCCTCCTCCTCCTCCTCCTCCTCCTCCTCCTCCTCCCCCTCCCCCTCCCCCTCCCCCTCCTACTCCTCCTCCACCTCCTCCTCCTCCTTTTCCTCCTCCTCCTCCTCCTCGGCCGCCCCCCTCTGCGCCTGCTCCCCGCTCGCTAGTGTCGACCTCGCCCTGCAGCGGCACCGCCCAGGCTTCTCGACCGCGCCGCGCGATGCCCGGCGCCGCGATCAAAGCAAGTGCCTGGGTTCGTCATCGGGGGCGGCCATGATGACTAGTGGGGGCGGGATATCATGGCGGGGGCCATGATGAGATCTCCCATGCAGTGGAGGCCCATGCCAAGAAGCGCCCTGCTTGCCTCCAGGGTGCACTGGGTTTCTTGGGTTTCGATGGTTTGGCTATGGAAAGCGTGACGTTCCCACAGCAAACATCAATGGACGTCCCGTGGTCTCAGGTTTGGGTTTCTTGTGAGGGTCTCTTGTGGACTGGCCTCCGCTGTATCCCTTGGCCCCTCTTCTCCTTTCTCTGCGCTCCATGGTTCCCACCCACCTTGTCCGCGCACATGCCTCGGGCCATGATTTGCGACCCCCCCTCTTTTAAGTCGGGTCTGTCCCTCGACAGGGGGCATATTCAAACATAGTAAAACAACATAGTCTGGGGACGACTGTTCGACAATCTCTGAATTTTGTGCTGTGCATGTTTGGGGTATTTTCTAGGTTTCGTCCAAAATCCGCCCCTCGTTGGACGCTTCCCCCCCCCCCCCCCCTGGACGCCCCCCGAGGTCCAGCAGGCCCAGGCTCGGGATAGGAATCGCTCCCCTGCGCTCCAGAGTGCGCGCTCCCGAGCGCCCTCGGGGAGCGCTCGGGAGACGGCCGCGGCGCTCGACGCGTCCTCCCAGGGAGGCGCCAGCTCTCAGAGACCTTCCGAACATCGGGCCGAACGAAATGATGGGCCTGTTTTCCACCACCACCACCACCATAAGTTGAAGGGGGAGGGGGTCCTCCTCCTCCTCCTCCTCCTCCTCCTCCTTCTAGTCCTCCTCGTCCTCCTCGTCCTCCTCCTCGTCCTCCTCCTCTTTCCTCCCTCTAACTTATGGTGGTGGTGGTGGTGGAAAGCAGGCCCATCACGAAAGGGGGGGATAGGGAAAGGGGGGGGTGCGAAATCTGCTGCGTGCAGCTGGTTTCGGCCCCGCCGCCGGCCCCATTCCTTGACACGTGGGCGCCTCCCGGCGCCGGGAGGCGCTGGAGAAATCAGCTGCGAGAGCTGATTCTCTACCCTGCCCTTTGCTATCCCCCCCTTTCGTTCCCTCCGAGAAAACGGCGAAGGCAGAGACGGCGAAGGCGACGGAGAAAGGCGCGGACGAAGAGGGCGAACACGAAGACAGGCAAGCACGACGACGAAAGATACGACGAAGGTGGTCCGACGACAGCCCGCGACGACGACGACGCTGGGTCCGCTTCGCCCTAGCTTTCAGTCGGGCATTTCCTCTACAGGAGGAGTAGTCAACAATAGTCAAGCAATAGTCCGGAAGTTCCTTTTTAGTCAAGAATAATGGAATAGCCAATCAATAGTCTGGAAGTTCAAATAATAGAGGAATAATCAAGAATAGTCAAACAATAGTATAATACTCGTATTTTTTGTAACATTCATCTTTCCTTCACAATCCTCTAGGAGGACACGCCCGACCTAACCCTAGCTGGGTCCTCCGCACCTTGGCTTCTCTCCGCTCTCTTGGCCTCCTCCTCTCTTGCCGCCAGCGGAGGCCACCTTCGCACTGATGGTCGAGGCTGCCGCGGGATCCTGCGATCTGCGTGGGATTTCCAGCCGAGGAGGAGGACCTAGGACTCTTAGGGACATTGAGGGAGGAGGAGGAGGAGGAGGAGGAGGAGGAGGAGGAGGAGGAGGAGGAGGAGGAGGAGGAGGAGGAGGAGGAGGAGGAGGAGGAGGAGGCGGCGGCGCCGGCGGCGGCGGCGGCGGAGGAGGAGGAGGAGGAGGCGGAGGAGGAGGAGGAGGAGTAGGAGGAGGACCATCACTTGGCTAATGGGGAGGCTAAGGGTTGGCCGACCCGACCCTAACCCGAAACCTCGTGGCACTGGGCCACCAATGTTCTCCACATCGGCCGTGGGTGGGGCCGCTGAGACGGCAGTACGCTGCCGACGCTGAACGCGGTGCTGGGGCCAGGTGTTGCATAGCACACCTAGCCTCAGCAGCACGTTACCTCCTCCGCCCATGATCGCGGGGGGGGGGGTGGTGGGGCTGAGCCACTGTCGGGGCGGACTGGCAACCCAGGTCCGCCCCCGTGCCTAGAAACCCACGGGGTTTTCCCCTGTGCAGCTGTCACCATGGAGAGCGCCAAAAGGCGCTCCACGGCCGTGCAGCAGGGTCTCGCCAAACAGCTCGCACAGAAACAAAGGGGGGAATAGGCGTCGCCTGACTGACGGAGCCCCAAAGCTCGGGTTATAGGGCTGGCTGCGTAACCAGCACCGCCAGCCAGGACGAAACCCAGGCCCCAGAAAGAAAGTCTGCTGCGGGCCTAGGCGGAACTGCAGCCCTGTGCCGCAGAAGAGTGTGCAGCGCTCCTTCCCCCTGAGGCGGGGTGCCTGACACGCGTGCTGGGCCTCGCACGCACGCACACACGCACAAGTGCGCTGATGGGCCCTGATGTGGCGTTTGCACACCTAGCCACTGCTTCGCCTTCCTCCGCCGCACTGGAGCGGGGGGTGGAAAAGTGGGCCAGAGCAGCAGTCGGGGTGGAATGGCAACCCAAGTCCACCCCCGTGCCCAGGGCCCACAGAGGGCCCCTTGTGCCACTGTCACCATGGAGGGGCCAGCAAGTTCTACGGCCGTGTAACGAGGTTGCACCAGACAGCACACTGCAGTGAAAAGGACGGCCAGCCTCGCCAGGCTGGCGGAACCCCAAAGCTCGGGTACCAGGGCTGGCTGCGCGGCACCAGCACCGCCAGTCGGAGCGAAACAAAACCCCAGATCGAACCTGCAGTGGGCCTGGGCGTAGCTGCGGCCAGTGCCGCAGAAATTAGAGATGCAGCGCTCCTTCCCCCTGAGTCGGGGTGCCTAACACGCGTGCGGGGAGCGCGCACGCACACACGCACAAGTACACATAATGTCCTAGGCGACGCCAGGACGACTCGGCACTGCCCACCCCTGGTGTAAATAACGCCAGGGCGGTGGGCAAGCCTCATCCCTGGTGTGGGCCTGTCTGGACTCTTGCAACATAGAGTCAGAACTATGTCGGGCTTTGCGCCTGGGCTGCCTGGGCAGCAATTTCGTCAATCGGAACAGGAGGGTTGAAGACAGCGGGGCTAGTCTTGGAGGCCCTTTCTCCTCGGCTAGGCGCGCGTAGGCGCCTTCTGAAAAGGTTAAGGTGGATTCCTGGGGGCAACTCTTCTGGAGGCTCTTAACTGTGCACTCAGAATACTTGCTGCACAGCTGACAAGTAACACTACAGCTTTCATCTTCAATTCTGTTGAAACCTGCAAGCTTGTGGCCATTTGGCTGCTCGGCGAATTTGGCCAGCCGAGCTGCGTTGCCAGGGCACGACTCCTTGGCTCGGGAAAGTTTGACTTTATCAGACATGCATCGCGAGTGGCAGAGACAGCAGAGCCAACGTGTCTTCTGCCACGTCCACACATGCCCACTACGGACACGAGCACGGGCCCCACGAAGGGGCCGAGGAGGGGCAGGAGCCGCCACGGCTCCAGGGCCCGAAGAGGACCCCCCCCGGAGTTAGCTCTGCTTTGCCACACTTCCGCGATCGATCTGGCTCCTGCAAACGGGTTTGTTGCCTTGTCTGGGCCGTCGAGGCCTCTCCCCCCAACCCTCGGGGCAACCGAGGGCCGCAGCGCAAGAGCCTTCGGCACATACCGAAGGACACGCTCGATTCTCTTGTCGAGCTGCTGCTGGGCATCTCTCTCTCTCCTTCCGATGGCTCGGGGAGGCGCGAAGATGCCTGTTTGGCAATTCTGTCGACTGCGTCGTTCCCGAAGCATGCCGCCACTCGTCAGAGTAGCGATCCAGGGAATCTAAAGTTTGATGGGCTTTAACTTTGACGACTTCAAAACCTCCTGCGCAATTGGCTTCACCTCGCCTGGCCATAGACCCCAGCCCATCGTACACATTCTTCCTACTAGCGGGCTGGCCCGAGTTGTGGAAGCTCACCACACCTCGTAATGAATCTTAGTCATTCCTCTGAACTGGCTGGAGGCAAGGTACGCTAGAAACTCCGCCGCAGGGGACGTGGGCGGGAGG